ATCCTGGACTAAAGTGATCCTCCCGCCTCAGCCTCCCAAAGTGCTGGGATGACTTGCTTGAGCTGCCATGCCCAGCCTCTCCCAAATTTTTCTTTTTTTTTTTTTTGAGACGGAGTTTTGCTCCTTTTGCCCAGGCTAGAGTGCAATGGCATGATCTCAGCTCACCGCAATGTCTGCCTTCCAGGTTCAAGCGATTCTCCTACCTCAGCCTCCCTAGTAGCTGGGATTACAGGCATGTACCACCACACCGGGCTAATTTTGAATTTGTAGTATAGACGGTGTTTCTCCATGTTGGTCAGCCTGGTCTGGAACTCCCGACCTCCCGACCTCAGGCGATCCACCTGCCTCAGCCTCCCAAAGTGCTGGGATTACAGGCATGAGCCACTGCACCCAGCTGGACTCTCCCAAATTTTTCTAAGCCCGCCTGTAGAGGCTGGGAATCAGCCCTAGCCATTCAGGAAATCCGTGGAGGGTGGCCCGGGCCCAGCAGGCTACCCTCTGACTGCTTTGGGCCGAGATACAGGTTGGAGTGAGACCTTGATCAGGTGGCATCTGGTGGGGTAGGGGAAAGTCCAGGTCTGGCGCAGTCGCACCGGTGGTCGGGCCCCACTTGGTGATCACTCTGATATCGTCCCCTGAGCTTGGTTGTCGCGTGTGAGGGACAAGATCCGGCTGGAGAGCCCAACACAGTGTTCCAGGAGACTGAGGGAGATGCCAAGGTCTTCTCGGTCGCCACAGGCGGTGCTGCATAACGGACTTTCCTGAGATAGTTACTGCGGCATCTGGGGGAGCCTAAGATTGTTACTGTGGGATGGGGGTCCGCGGTCTTTGAGAATCGTGGAAGATGACTGGCGTATGAAGCTCCCCTCTGCCCTTGGGGACCTACTGGTGCCGTCGCAGGTGAATGGGGTAGGGCAACCTGGGCTCAGCCGCTTTCCCATCTGGTGCCGGCTTGTTCACATCATCACTGGGTAAGTTTTCGTTCTTTTTTTTTTTGAGACAGAGTCTCGCTCTGTTGCCGAGACTGGAGTGCAGTGGCGCGATCTCGGCTCACTGCAAGCTCTGCCTTTGGGTTCACGCCATTCTCCTGCCTCAGCCTCCGGAGTAGCTGGGACTACAGGCTCCCGCCACCACTCCTGGCTA